GCACATCCCCAGTGGGAGGTGTGCAGGAGGCAGCTGATCGGTTTCTCTCTCATCAATGTTTCTAACTCTCTATCCCTCTCCCTTCCTCTCTGTAAAAAATTAATAAAATATATATATATTTAAAAGAAATATGTCGCTGAAACCAGTTTGGCTCAGTGGTAGAGCATCAGTCTGTGGACTGAAAGGTCCCAGGTTCAATTCCGGTCAAGGGCATGTACCTGAGTTGTGGGCACATCCCCAGTAGGGGGTGTGCAAGAGGCAGCTGGTCAATATTTCTCTCTCATCGATGTTTCTAGCTCTCTATCCCTCTCCCTTCCTCTCTGTAAAAAATCAATAAAACATATTTAAATAAATAAGGACAATCTAAGAAAAACCACCATGGCTGTTCCCAAGTATCTGTTGTACAGAATTAAAAAAAAACAAAAGAAAGAAAGGAAGGAAGGAAGGAAGGAAGGAAGGAAGGAAGGAAGGAAGGAAGGAAGGAAGGAAGGAAAGAAGAAAGGAAGGAAGGAAGGAAGAAAAAGGAAAGAAATATGTCTCATTGAGTAGGCAGTTCCCACCAAAGGGGCCCTTCAGAACACCCAGGACCACTCAGATTGGTCACTGAAGAATGAGCCGTTGGGTCACAGCTGAGCAGGCAGGGCAGGCAGAATGGTGCGATCTAACCAGACATCTTGCAGGAAAGCAACACAGAGTTGAGCCAGAGAGATTTTCGAGTAACAGGAGACATGAGTAAAGGCTAACAGAGGGAAACCGAAGACCATAAACAGTAGCCAACAAACAGCTGAGGATCTGAGCAGAGACAGGGCTGAGAAAAGTGGGGTTGGGGGGCAGGGAGGGACAGACGGGGAGGCTGGATGGGGTCTGACTGGGGTAGAAGCAGAAGAATCAGGGTTTGCCTGCAGAGTGTCTCCCTTGGTGTCCTGGAGTTTGCCTGAGATTTGGAGGACAGACAGCTGCCAGGGTGGGGAAGAGCCCACACTTCCTAACTGGCCCCGCTCCCCTGAGGAGGGCTCAGCCCGCTCCTGAGCAAATGGGAATGCACAGCTGAACTTTGCATTAACTTTCAATATCCTGCTGTCGAGTGAAGGAAGGAAGGAATAATGGTCAGACAAGTGATCGAGTCTGAAGACCTTTGTTGGAGGTGGGGGTGGGCACAGAATCAGCATGAGGGAGAGAACTGGCTTCTGACTGCAGAACCAAATTACCAAAGCTGCTTCTTTCTTCTCCTGTTCTCTCCCACAGGTCGGGTAGGAAAGTTTCCCAGTCATCTTCCCTTCTCCTCCCTGCTGCCATGTCCTCCAGACCTCTAGCTGCCTTCTCAGACCTTCCCCAGTGAGGAGTGGGGAGCAGGCACAGACATCAGCCTCACAGTGCTCATCCACCCCCTGCCGGCTGCAGCCTTCTCTTCAGCTGCTCTCATATTTTCCATCTGTTTCTCTGCTTTCCTCTCATCCCCTTCCTGCCCCGGCAGCCCATCCTCTCTCCTGCTGCTTCCCCTCCTGTTCATGTTTCCTGCCTCCCTGGCTACCCCACAGCCTTCCTGGATGGCTGGCTTCCTCTCAAACCCCAACCACACTGCAGGGCCCCGAGGACCTGACTCGGCCAGAGAAGGGAGCTGCCAGCTCCCCCAGTCCCTCCATTGCCACCACCAGCAGACCCAGCTCCTAGGCCTGGAGCTGAGCCTACCATAAAAATAGTCGTGGAAGGAGAGGTGGGCAGGTAGGGAGGGCTATTTCCAGGCATCACAGAGCTTGGATGGGGCAGGGGCTGGTCTAACATGGTCACGAGAAAGCCTGCCTCCTGCTCCTACCTGGTGCTGCCACCCCCATGGCAACCCCGCTCCCCAGCCCTAGGAGGTCCGAGGCAGAAGCAGCAGGGAGGGTATCCCACCCCGGGAGTAGGAACATAGCCCTACCCTGCTCCCTCAGGACCCCAGGCCAGGTGCTCTCTCTCTTCTCTCCCCTCATCCTGTGGCCAGAGGCAGGGAAACTCCTCTGACCTTGGGGCCTCAGGAGTGGTTCCAGCCAAGACAGAAGGTTAAACCACCCTCTTCCCAGGCCTCAGGCTTCTGGCGGAGGCAGTAAATCATTGATTTTACTTTCTAATCTTTCTGGTTTCTTGAGTCTGGCACCTACTCAGGAACAGGCACAGGTTCACACACATGCCCATTGTCCTGTGCATACAACCATGCACATGAACCCATATGCACACCAGGCATGTATATGCACCCACCCATGCACATGTACACAGACACAGCTGTTTTTATGTAAATTAGCACACACCCCTCTACCCACACACATGCATGCACTACCTACATAGTGAACACAAATACCCTTGACTTGCCACTTCCTACCTTTGGTCTCCTCCCACCTTCCAGCTGCCTTTCTCCTCTTCCCACTCCACCGCCCCCTCCTCCTCCTAGTCTTCCTTTTCTTCTCCTCTTCCATTCCTACAAATCCTACAATTCCCCGGACCCTACCTCCTGTCTCCTCCTTGCTGTTGACCCACAGTGAGCTCCTCTGTAGCTTCCACAGCCCCACGCTCACTTTGAAGTTGAGTCGGTTTGCGGTTCTTAGCATGGCAAAACCGCTAGTCACTCTATAAGGGTTCCCGGGTGATGGAAGGGAGAAGATGAGATTGAGATAATTCTGCTTCTTTGTTACAGATAAAGTAAACCGAGGTCCGGGGAGTGGGAGTCATATCTCAACTCAAGGAACAGAGACAAATGAATCTGGCTTCCTCTCTTTTGTCTGCTCAGTATTCTGGTTTCATCAAAGCAAAGGCCCAGAGCTAGGAGCTGTCACTGCTGCCTGCCTCCCAACCCTCCAGCATGATCCCCTGCTAGTGCCCCAGAATCTTGAGTCCTCTACAGTAGAGGGCAGAGAGAAAGGAGAAGAGGAGTGTCGATTTGGGGTGAGACTGGCACTGACCGCTCACTCTAACATTGTTCATTTGGCTTTCCACAGAAGCACTGCCATGATGGTGGTGTGGCCATGACCTTGGCCCTGGGCACTGCCTGGAGGGGAGCCATCCCCAGGGTCCTGTGGCCCATCCCCTGGTCCACATCACTGGGCAAGCAGAAGGGCAAAGACACAAGAACGGGAAGCCTGAGTGGGTTGCCCTGCTGACTTGACATGGAGCCTGAACCAGTCTTTTCTTCCTAAAAACAGCTTTCTCAAGGCTCTGTTTTACTCCTTTTTGTTTTTTAAGAGACAGAGAGAAAGGTACATGTGAGAGAGAAACATTGATCAGTTGCCTCCCATACATGCCCCAACCGGGGATTGAACCTGGGTATGTGCCCTGACGGGGAATCAAACCCATGGTCCTTCAGTGCACAGGATGATGCTCCAACCAACTGAGCCACACAGGCCTGGGCACAATGGTTTACACTTTTTTTTTTTTTTAAATACATTTTATTGATTTTTTACAGAGAGGAAGGGAGAGAGATAGAGAGCTAGAAACGTCGATGCATCGACCAGCTGCCTCTTGCACATCCCCCACCGGGGATGTGCCCACAACCAACGTACATGCCCTTGACCGGAATCGAACCTGGGACCTTTCAGTCCGCAGACCGATGCTCTACCGCTGAGCCAAACCAGTTTCGGCCATGTTTTACTCTTAAAAGAACCTGTCTTCCTTCACATCCACCCTGTCACTCAGGGGTCCTGCAGTCTCTGAGTTCCCTAGCTGTGAGAATGGGGTACCCAGCCAGCCATTCTTAGAACCTTGGCTCAGTGGTCCCCATAGCATCTGGTGGTATAAGGCTGCCTCTCCTTTCCTTTTCACTTTGCTTTCTCCAATCAGAGGGCCTCAAACGTGGCCCCTCATATACACCCTGACCTGGTGGGCCCTATCCCCAGGTCAGTAATTCCTTGCTTCCAAGCCACCTGAAGCTCCACCATCAATGACACTTTCCCTAAAGCCCATTAGGAAAAGAGAAGTCCTCTCTCTGCACACTGCCTCCTGCTCTGTAGCTCATATCAACTATCGCATGGGCCTACGCAGTAAGCACCAATTTATGGGCTAGCCTTTTATCTCTCCAACCAAACTAAGGTACTCAGGGCAGGCCTACCACTTCTACACATCTAGATTTCCCACCTCCACCCCCTACTGACCTATGCCTTGCATAGAATGGCATTTGCACACAGTTCTGGGATATTTATACTCCAAATGCTTCTGGTTCTATCTCTCCCCACAGCCCCATTCTTCAGCCAAGGCCCCTCCCTGCACACACATCCAGCCTGCTTGCTGTGAAACCCTTTCTGCTTATGCAAACCTTACATCTGGGACCCTCTCCACTACCCAAACTCTGAGACTTCCTACATTTGCCCCTATTGATTCTAGTGCTACCATGGCCCTCTAGCCAGGCCTAGCCACAGACCATCACACCTCCCCTCCCTCACAGTCATTCCCAGGCGGGAAAGGCAGCAAGGGAGTGGGTACTGGGTACTTCCCAGGCTCAAGTAGGGTGATTGTAAGTCAAATTACAGCGGGGAGGGTAGGGAGATATGGGGGAGATAAGAGATCAACCGAAAGACTTGTATGCATGCATATAAGCATAACCAATGGATGCAAAACTCTGGGGAGGGAGGGCGTGTATGGGAGTGTGTGTGTGTGTGTGGTGGTGGTGGTGGTATAATTGGTAAGATATGTACAAATATAATACCTTAATAAAAAAAAAGAAAGAAAAAAAAGAAAGAAAGAAAAGGAACCAGGGATTCTCTTGAGTGTCTTTCGTCCCCCTCCCCATTGTACTCCACACAATAACAGAACTGGGGCTCCGTGTCTGATGGGCGCAGACTCAGGACCAGATCCAGATGAGCGTAAAGGAAGACACAACTTGAGCAGATGCCTCGCCCCCCTGGAAGGGTCAGCGGGTCGCTGAACGGAGCCGAGAGAAATGTGGGACTTCGCTGAATGCCCTGGGCCGTGCTCCCTCTTTCTGACTGGTAAAGTCTGCATTTCAAGCGGCGAGGCTCTGCACACTGAGCCCGGGCCGCGCTTCCTGGTTCCTTTCGGGAAGATCGATGCCCCTCAAGAAAGGCCGGTGTGCAGGCGACAGCCAGAAAGCCGGACTCCTAACAGCAGCGCTCAGACTTGGCTGGTTAAGAGGCCCACCCCACCAGCCCGGGGGTCCTGAGGGCTAGCGAGCCTCCAGCTCCGGGCAGCCGGCGCCGCGGGAGCCTCTGCCCCGCCCCCGGGCGCCGCGCCCATTGGCTGGGCTCCCGCCCGGCCCCGCCCAGCAACCGGCCCCGCCCGGCACTTACGCATGCGCAGGAGCCCACCCCGCGGCCGCTTCAGCACCAGCGCCCGGACAGCGGCACCGCCCACGGGCATGGACCGCGGTAGCTGCAGCAGCGGTAGCGGTTCGGCTCCCGGCCCGGGTCCGGAAGGGGAGCAGGAGCACGACCGGGAGTCTTCGGCCCACGATGGCAGCTCTCCGGACAGGTAGGGCAGACCACTCCACAAACCCAACTCTCAGACCTTCTCAGCACCCCCGCCCCAGTATCCCCAGTAGCCGCCATACAACACCCCGTGCAATCCCCAGCCCCTGTGGGAGCCCCTTCCGGCGCCTCCAGGCTCCCGGCCCCCTGGCCACGCCCTCATTCTGCCAAGTCCATTTTCTCTCTCGCTGATACCTCCTACTGTCAGCTCCCACCTCCCTTGTCGCCCTGGGGAAGCTGTCCCTCCCACTGTTCCTACCATACCTCTAAGACCAGGGGTTCCCCCACCCAACCCCACCCACTGGCCTTCCGAGCCACTCCCTCTAGGCCCTGCCCGCGCGCCTTCTCAGTGAGCCCCCAGCCTGCGGCCACCTCAGTCCGGGTTCCAGCGTGTCAGTGTGCTGGAGGGTGTGTGTGTATCGTAGATGGGAGGCTCGCCACGGGGTGTGTCCTGGGGAGGGCAGACACTCGGCGGCCACGCCAGGGACTGTCTTTGTCCACTCTACTCTGCACGGCCAGCTGCGCACGTGTGGGCCAGCGTCTCCGCATGTGGCAGCTGCTACTGCACTCTCTGGAGACCTGACCGAGGCTCAGGCCACGGTGAGAACCATCTCCCCCTACCCCTATCGCCACCCCGAAGGACCCCCAGGAGGGCGGATGGGAGGAACACTTTCCCCGCTGAGGGCCCAGGTCTTGGTGCTCTCCTCTCTCTTCCTCCACCATATGTGTGAGGAAACAGCCCCGCGAGGTAGCAATATGGTGCAATTTCTGTGCCCTGTTAGATCTGCCGCCTCCAGAATGCCTCCCCTGACATGACACTGCCTTTCTACCCTGCCTGGACTGAAATGAGAGGCATTCTTTGGAGGCACAAAGCAGAGGTGGACACATGGTCTCCAGACTGCTCCAATTGGAAGGTACACTCTGTACCTCAGCGCAAGAGGATGCCCCACTGGTGAAAAGAAATGTTCCCTGCCCTCTAATGTTAACACATCAGCCTGGACAGATTTAGCCACCTTTCCACCTGAAAGGCCCAGACTTATCTTCAAAGGGGTGAGACACAGGGGGGATGTGTTCCTGGACCAGGGTCTACCTGGGACTGTGGCCTGGCCAAAGAGCCAGGGGTGGACAGGGCAGGGACAATGACAGGGCAGAGCAGGGTCCTGGGCCAGGAGCCTCCCAGGAAGGAACTGGAGAGTCAGTTGGTGTCTTGGATATTCTGCCAAGGATCAACACTGTCTGGTCTGCTCACCTCCCCTGCACATGAGAGTCATTCTTGAGCTCAAGAATCACTTGTTCTCCTCCGACAACTCCCTGGGACCTCTGGCGCCTCTGTACATCCCCAGAGACACTGGATTCTAATCAGGCAAATTGACTCAGGGGGAGATGGAGGGGGTAGATATATAGTGAATATGATGGCGCGCATGTGTGCACGCACACACAGTCAGTCCTTTACTAATGCATTGGCTACAACAACAATTTGAAAAGTTCCTTCTTTGGGTTTTTTAGAAATTACCTTTTTATTTTCCTAGTGGTGTGGGCTGCTTCCCCATCTATCCTGGCCACTCTGCAGGATCACATGGCTGTCCATATGGCTATGTGTCTGTGGACTTGGAGGAAAGCTTAATGCACATGTGCATTGCCCCTTATAAGGCTCCCAACTGGGAGCTCTATGTCTGGAGCCCTGTCAGCTAGGCCCTGAATACTATGACTTTGGCCTCTAAAGGAGGCCTGCATCACTACTTCCCATCTCCCTGCCTGCCTGTCTCCATCACTTGGCTTACAGGCCAGCGGCCCAGGCAGTCAGCCCAGAAAGCAGCTCATTCCAGTCTGAGCCATGGAACTGAGAGGGTGAGAATGAAAGCGCCCTGGGGAGGCATGGTCTGGAGTGCTTACCTCATATTATTACTAGGTCTCCTGAGCATAGAAGGTAGCAGGGGCTAGCAGGAGAAAGCTTTTATTCTGAGGAGAGTTTGGCTGCTCTCCTTGAAAGAGTTGAGACAAAGGTCCAGACCGACAGCAGCCAGAATGTGGAGTTTTCACATTTTACCATATTGCCCTAGCCTGTGTGGCTCAGTTGATTGGACATCATCCCGTGCACTGAAAGGTTGTTGGTTCAATTCCCAGTTAGGGGACATGCCTGGTTGCAGATTTGATCCCCAGTAGGGGGAGTGCAGGAGGCAGCTGATAGATTAATGTTTCCCTCTCCCTTCCTCTATCTCTCTCTTTGAAAAATCAATTTTAAAAAACTCTCCCTACTGCCGAAACCAGTTTGGCTTAGTAGATAGAGCTTCAATCTGCGGATTGGAAGGTCCCAAGTTCGATTCCAGTCAAAGGGCATGTGCATTGGTTGCGGGCACATCCCTGGTGGGGGGTGTGCGGAGGGCAGCTGGTCGATGTTTCTCTCTCATCGATGTTTCTAGCTCTCTATCCCTCTCTGTGAAAAATCAATAAAATATATTTTTAAAAATTCTACCTACTGACAATGATGGGCACAGTAAAAAAGGGTGATATTTGGGAACAGTAGATCCTAGGTCCCTAGAGAGGGAAAGAAGGGGTTAAAAGAAAAGGCATGGCTCCAGGAAGACCTTAGTAAAAGCAAATCAATGGTGGAGACTAGAATCTCCCTTGAACAGAAGCCACCAAAAGAAGGAGTTAGGCTTATGAGGTTTGGTAGACTGGTTGAGGGAGTGGGCTCATGGTCTCCTCCCGCACCCCCTGGAGTGCTTAGTTCCTTTAATGAAAAAGAAACTGACGCTTAGTGGGGGCCTGGCTCCTGGGACAAGCCAAGTACTGAGTGCTTCAAGGCCAGGGGAAGTTGGAATAAGCGTCCTTGTTGCCCCACCCTCCTGACCTCTGGAAGGCAGGCCCTGCTCTAAAGAGGGAGACCAAGACTAATGGGTCATCTTCATGCCTTCAGAGTCCAACCCAGACCAGGCTCAGTGCCCAGTGTGTGGTAGGTGCTCAAAATATACCTGCAGAATAAAAATCTTCAAGACATAGATGTCCACACGTAAACACATAAACTCAGGCCATTTGTGCAGCTTCCTTTTGGCTCATGGTCTTTTAACTGGCAGGACACTGGTTGCTATGTCATTAATTTTATGGGGTCATCTGAGGTCTTGCTTTAGAGCAACATTGATCAAATTCCTGTTTTTCTAAATGTTGGTAGTAGAAAGAAAAAGTACCAGTGATTTAATCAAGAGATCAAATTCTGATGCAGTTTTTGAATAACAAAAAGGAAAGTATTTTAAAAAATAAAAGAAAGGAAAGTATTTTTAATTATACAGTACTATAGGAGGCCCGGTGCACGAATTGTGCATGGGTGGGGTCCAGCCGGCCTACCCCAACGGGAGCCCATCGGGGCACAGTGGCGGGGGAAAGGGGGGAAGAGAGATGGGTGGTTAGTCTGCTGGCCCCACCCTCGATCAGGGTGTTGGGGGCCAATCTGGACCCAGATCAAGCTGGTTGGCTGCCACAGTGCATGTCATAACCATCAGTCTTTCTGCAGTCCCTGTCGCTGGGCTTTTATATATATAGGCTAGGCACCTGTTGCAGGAATATTCCTGCAAGATTTCCAGCGGGCTTCCCTCCCGCCAACCCCACCTCTCCCGCTGTGGTGGGCAAGGTGGGGCAGGCAGCCACCTCCGCCACCTTCTCTGTGGCTGCTCGTGCTGCCACCACCTCTGCCCACCTCGCCCCACCCCACCCTGCACACGCTGCAATTGCTTTCCCTCCAGCAGCTGCAGCTGCCTTGTTTTCCACTTTCTTTCCCTCTTCCTTCTATGCTGTCTTCAGTCTTCACTCCTCCCTCCCTCTGTGTATGCAAATTAACCACCATCTTTGTTGGGTAATTTGCATACTTGCTCTGATTGGCTGGTGGGCATGGCTTGTGTGATGGAGTGATGGTTAATTTGCATATTACTCTATTATTAGGTTAGACTAGAGGCCCGATGCACAGAATTTGTGAACTCAGGGCTGGGAGTCCCTCAGCCTGGCCTATGCTCTTTCACAGTCCAGGAGTCCTCCAGGGATGTCTGACTGACAGCTTAGGTCTTCTGCACCCTATGCTTCTGGCTGAGTGGTGCTCCCCCCATGGGAGCACACTGAGCACCAGGGGGCAGCTCCTGCATTGAGCATCTGGCCCCTGGTAGTCAGTGTATGTCATTGTATGACACTGAGCACCAGGGGGCAGCTCCTACATTGAGCATCTGGCCCCTGGTAGTCAGTGTATGTCATAGCAACCGTTTGTTCCACTGTTTAGTCGATTTGCATATTAGTCTTTTAATATATAGGATATATAATGAGATTCTCAAGGTATGAGGAGTTCTCAAATAGAGATATATTATCTGAAGTACCTAAAGCAGCCAAATTGTAAATATAAATATGCTTCTTAAACCACATGCTCCCAGCAGCACCGAGTGTGAGGACGGGCAGGAAAACAAATGTATCTTCCAAAGGTCTTCCACATATGTTATATCAGTTAATACCAAACCTGGGAGGGGTCATTATCATTGTACCCTTATGCCACAGACATGGATGCCAATGATCCGACAATTGTGTGTCTTTCCCAAGGTCCCAGAGCTAGAGGGTGACAGAGCCAGGAGTACACCACTGCTCCCCCATTTTATTCTCAGCATAGGGGTCTGCCAGCCTTCTTGGAGGAAGAGGCTGAGTTTGCCTGTTCTTTACAGTTCCTCTACTTGGTCTCTGGGCAGAACCAGCCTCTGTGGGCAATGTCCACTGGCATCAGGACTCCGCCCACAACCCCTCCAGCAGTGCAGCAGGCAGAACTAGAAGCCCGTGTTGGTTCTGCATACACCTTGCTGTCCCATGAGGGCTGTGCGAGCTCTTGGCAGGCCCCAGGATCCAGGGAAATGGAGGGAAAGAGACAGGGCTCTGCCAAGGCTACCCATCCCAGAACTCTGTTCTGTGGCCATCTCCTCATGTCCTACGTCTTGCAGTTCTGTCCCTGGGGTGGGACTCCATCTACCCCTGGACCAAGGAGTGGGCTGAGTCCCTACACAGAGTGTTGCTCTCATTAGTAATTTTGGAAGAGATCTCTATTTCTGAGTCCTCCTGGCAAGTTCCTTGGGGGTCCCAACTCTATCTCCCAACTGTGCACACCCTCACAAAGCCACCCTCTGTCCTGTGGTCCAAGGTTGGTGGAAAGGCAGTAACTGCCCTGGCCAAGCTTTCCCGGTCTATCCCCAGCCTTGTGAAGGCCAGGCCCTCCACTGGCTCCTTCAGCCCTCAGGGACTTCTCTCCAGCACTCACGAGGTTAGACTGCCCACATCTCCCACCTACTTTGAATGCCTAGAGGACAAGCACTGGGACTTCTTTACCCTAGCACCACTAGTAACAGACTGTCTGACACTCCATATGAATTCAACAAACATTCCCTGGGCACCTTCTGTGTGCAAGGCACTGTTCGAGGCACTGAGGATAGAGAGATGAACAAATGGTTCAGGCCCCTGCTCTCCCATCACTCACGTTTCATATGAGAAACAGGCAATGAACATGTCAATTATACGATATAATGTCCAGGTGTGGTAACTGCTCTGAAGAATCATAAAGCAGGTAGGGGGATGGAGAGCTGGGGGGTGATTATTTAGAGAGGTCGTCATGGGAGGCTTCTCCAAGAAGGTAATCGTTAAACTGAGAACAGAGTGTGAGCTATGCAGTTATCTGGGAAAGGAGCGGTTATCTGTGGGGACACGAGTGTTGCAGGTGCTCAACAAATATCTAACCAGAGAATGAACCAATGACTGCAGCAGCAAGAGCACAGGACCGCAAGTCAGAACTGGGCTCAAGGCCCAGCTCTTTCCATCTCACTGAAACTCCATTTTCAAATCTATAAACAAGGAAAGGACTTCCCTGTAGGTTTTTGTAAGGAGTAATTAGGTCATACATGTAAAAGTATGTTCGTTGCCTAGCACAGCATCTGGCATATAGCAGGCTGACAATAATGGTGTGTGTGTGTGTGTGTGTGTGTGTGTGTGTGTGTGTGTGTTTTGAGTGCATGGACAGATGAGTCAATAAGACAATGGACCCCAAGAGGTAGTTTCGGGCTATTCATCCACGGTCCCCACCCTCCTTGCCTGTCCTCTGGGACTAGTAATAGAAAACTCTTGCCAAAACCGTTTTTGGCTCAATGGATAAAGTGTCAGCCTGCGGACTGAAGGGTCCTGGGTTTGACTTCTGTCAAGGGCATATGCCCAGGTTGTGGGCTCGAACCCCAGTAGGGGGCGTGCAGGAGGCAGCCAATCAATGATTCTCTCTCATCATTGATGTTTCTCTCTATCCCTCTCTCTTCCTCTTTGAAATCAATACAAATATATTTTTAAAAAGAAAGGAAGAAAACTCTCACCCGTGTGCTCACCCAGTCTCCCTTGCCTCTTCTCTCCCCAGCTCCCAGAGCAAGGCTGTGGCCCCTGAGGCCAGCCCGGAAAGGAGCTGCTCCCTTCACAGCTGTCCAATTGAGGACCCTTCCAGTTCTTCGGGACCTCCACCGGCAACCTCCACCCTCCAGCCTGTGGGTCCGTCCAGCCCCTTGGCCCCTGCCCACTTCACTTATACCCGGGCACCGAAGGAATATCGAGGGGGCAGCTCCCTGCCAGGGCTTGGGGACCGAGCAGCTCTGTGTTCCCATGGCTCCAGCCTCAGCCCTTCCCCAGCCCCCTCGCAGCATTATGGGGCCTGGAAGCCACCATCTGTGCAGCACCATGTGATCAGCGTCAGGTAAGAGGGGACTAGCAGCCTGCCAAGCTGCCCCGGGAAGGTAGGGCTGGACTGAAAAGTAAGGCCAACACTGCTCCCACCCCCCCCCCCCCCCCCCGGGACCTGAACTCCAACAGTAAGGCAGCCCAGTCCCCTGCCTCTGATGAAGGAGGCAGCTTGGATGGAGGAGGAAGTAAGGGTTTGGCTGTGGTGTGGGAAAGCCTAAGAGGGTTAATGCCATCATCCTCTATCCTCCTCCCCCGCCTCCCCCCCCCCCCCCCCCCCCCCCCCCCGTAAGAGACTCTGACAAGCAAGTGTCTTTTCTTCTTCCCACAGGCAGGAACAGGCCTTCCGGATGCCGAAGAGGTAGGCCTAGGCCTTCTCTTGGCCTCTAGAGTGACCAAGCTGTGCCCAGTACAGGTCCACTAGTCCTTCTTGGTGGATCCTGAGCTCACCAGCCCCGGCTACCACACCCAACACCCATTCACGCGGGCTCTCCTCCTCTTTCCCAGCTATTCCCAGCTGATTGCTGAGTGGCCAGGGGCAGTGCTGCTGCTGTGTCTAGCGGTCATCCTCCTCTGCACCCTGGCTGGACTCTTGGGGGGCCACCTGCCCGACTTCTCCAAGCCCTTGCTGGTAAGGGGCCAAGGGGAGGGAGGGGGGCCCCAGGCCTGGCCACCTCAGCTCAGTCTGGGGCAACAAGTCGGAGGGGCCCAGCTGGGGGTGGGGTGGCAGTGGTGGGCTCTCACCCTACAGAGACAGTTGGGAAGGTGGTATAGAGGTGATATGCCCGCTCAACAACCCAGGCAGGTGAGCTGACCCTCCCTGCTCCAGGGACTGAAGGGGGCAGAGCCAAGGACCAGATGGAAAACCCCTCCTCCTCCTTGCCTCTTCTCCCTCCTCCCTCAGGGCTTTGAGCCTCAGGACACAGACATTGGGCGAAAGCTGGTGGTCTGGAGGGAACTGCAGACCCTCACGGGCTCCCGGAAGCTGTTCTCCCTCTCCCCAGACCCTGAGCTGAACAGGTAATGGGTCCCCATCTTCCCACACCATTGAGGGGAATGGGAGAGAAAAGGAGGTCTCCAGAGAGAGGCCGCTGGGTGACCTCCTCAAAGGTAGGTCCGAGAGGCTTGCTGGGGCCCTCTGGAGAGTAGTGTCTGGCCTCCTCTGAGCACCCCGCCCCTGGATGATGCCTGGCATTGCTTTTCTCTATGCCTCAGCTCAAACCCCCACACCCCTCCGAGCCCCACACCCTGGAGCAGTGCCCAGGAGGGCATGGTCCAGCCCCGGAGGATGGTGGAGCCCCTGGAGGACAGAGGGCGAGAGAACTTCTTCTGTGGCCCCCCCGGTAAGCTTCAGCTTGGTCCCTTCCTGACTTTAATGGTGGTCCCCGCCCACACCTCCTAGAACAGAAGGAGCCAGAAGAACAAATCTGGGCAGACAGAAAGGGAAGGAAGCCAGCTGGCCATATTCAAGCCGAGGAAGTTGGGTTTATTTGGGAAGATGAGGCGGGTCTCAGGTGCTCCAGCCAGGTAGAGTCAAACTGGGTGTGGGTGGGGCACAGAAGCTGGGATGCAGGCCCCGGATGAAGCAGCCAGGAACGGGTTTCAGCTTCCCGAGAATCTGAGCCTCACATGGCCCTGGGTCAGAGTCTTTCCCTTCGGTGGGCCCAGGTCCTGGGGCAACAGGGGCTGAGCTTTGGGGTGTGTTGCAGAGAAGCACTATGCACAGCTGGTGTTCATGTCCACCTCCGCGGGAAGCCTGTGGAACCTACACGCCATCCATTCCATGTGTCACATGGAGCAGGAACAGGTGAGCTGACTGGGGAGATACCAGGGACTGGGTGTGGAGGGAACCAGGACATCATTCCTAAGGAGATACTGCGGAGTCAGGACTGCCAAGGCGGCCTGGGGAAGAGCGTTCCCTGCTTAGAAAATTACCCCAATGCTGCGGAGGCTCCAGGTTGGGTGGGGGGAGGAGTCAGCTGTTTTCAGAAGAGCCAGAACACAAATGTTGGAAGACAGAACATGCAGAGCTTGGGATTTCCTAAAAGTCCTAAAACGGAGGACTTGTTAATGAGGCCCCAGCACAAGGGCCCCAGGCCCCATCGATCCCAGTAGTGCACAAGGGTATCCACAGTACCCAAAGGCACCGGTTGAGAACATGCGCTCTGCCCTAGCCAGTTTGGCTCAGAGCATCAGCCCCTGGATGGAAGGGCTGCAGGTTGGATTTTGGTCAAGGGCATATACCTCAATTGCAGGCTTGAGGTAACCAATTTCCCTCTCTCTCTCTCTCTCTCTCGCTCTCGCTCTCGCTCTCGCTCTCGCTCTCGCTCTCACTCTCTCTCCCTCCTTCCCTCCTTCCCTCCCATCCACTTTCTTTAAAAATCAATGGAAAAACATCCTTTAACAAAACAAACAAATAAGAAAGAGCGTGTGCTCTGGAGTCAGATGCTGGTTTCAAGGCCAGCTTTCATACTCCTTAGGTGAATTAGACCACTGACTACCAGCTGCAAGCTGTGTGACTTCAGGCATGTTTCTTAACCTCTCAGTGACTCAGTCTTTGTGTATATATATAAAGAGGGATGAGCCCTAGCCGGTTTGGCTCAGTGGACAGAGCATCAGCCTTTGGACTGAAGGGTCCCGGGTTCAGTTCTGGTCAAGGGCGCATGCCTGGGTTGTGGGCTCAATCCCCAGTGTGGGGCGTGCAGGAAGCAGCTGATCAATGATTCTCTATCATCATTGATAGATCTATCTCACCCTCTCTGAAGTCAATTAAAAATATTTAAAATAAATTAATAAATAAACGGAAAGCAAATAATAAGGCGGGGATAAGAATGGTACTTTCCTCATAAGGATGTGTGACAATTAAGATAGAGTTTGTAAAACTATAACGTAATGAATGGCAATAGTCACCTCAATAAACGTTACCATAGTCACCACCATGATCTCAGAGCCAAGGCCATACAGCCAGCGGGGGGCAGAACAGAGCCTCTGGTTCCCAGGCAGGTGCTCTCTGTACCTATGCTAGCTGTTGTGATGTCAACAGCAAGTGGGAGAGAAAAGGAGGCATGAGGTCTGATACAGAAGCAGACCTGTGCCTAAGAGGGTTTAAGCAGACTAGGAGACAGCGCGGGGGGCTAGGGTTTGGCAGCGACGCCGATCCTGGAATGTGTTGTGCCTTCGCTTCTCTCACGGTCTGCTCCAGTTCCCTGGACCTCTGGCCCTGGTCCACCTGTGGCTGCCACTTCCACCCCTACTCCTGGCTCAGACGGTATAGAGTTGAGGCGTGTGACCTGCCAGGCCCTTATGGCAGGACCTCTCAGGCTGGGGCCTCAGCAGCATTCCGCAGGCTCCTCTTTGATGGAGCCAAGATGTAAGTGCTGAGACCTGGGCCACGAGCCAAAGGCAGCTCTGAGACAAGCCAGTTCTGCCGGGTTGTCAGGCTACCTCGCTCCCTCTGCTCTGCAGCCCGAAAGGAGGTGAGAAGGCCCGGGACAGGGCTGGGAAACCCCGGCCCCGGCACTGCCCCTGAGCTCTCTCCTGCTCTGTGCCCTGCAGATTCGCTCCCATCACCGCTTTGGGGCTCTGTGCCAGCGCACCGCAGCCAACGAGTGCTGCCCCAGCTGGTCCCTGGGCAACTACCTGGCAGTGCTCTCCAACCGCTCCTCCTGCCTGGACACGACTCAAGCCGACACAGCCCGCATCCTGGCCCTGCTTCGGACCTGCGCCCTCTACTACCACCGCGGGGCCCTGGGGCCCCCTTGCCTGGGGCCTGGGCAGGACAAGCCCCCACGCTGTGCCCAGGTCCCCGCCAAGTGCTCCCGGAGCAGGGCCGTCTACCAACTTCTGCACTTCCTCCTGGACAAGGACTTCCTGAGTCCCCAGACCGCCGACTACCAGGTGCCCTCCCTCAAGTACAGCCTGCTCTTCCTGCCCACCCTCAAGGGCGCCTCCATGATGGGCATCTACCTGGACCACCTGGCCACCCCCTGGGGGCTCTCTGACAACTACACGTCCATCACCGGCATGGACCTGGGCCTCAAGCAGGAGCTGCTGAGACACTACCTCGCCCAGGACACCGTGTACCCCTTGCTGGCCCTGGCTGCCATCTTCCTCAGCATCGCTCTCTACCTGCGCTCCTTCTTCCTCACGCTCATGGTGCTGCTGGGGGTGCTGGGCTCGCTCCTGGTGGCGTTCTTCCTGTACCGGGTGGCCTTCCGCATGGCCTACTTCCCCTTCGTCAACCTGGCGGCCCTGGTCCTGCTCAGCAGCGTCTGCACCAACCACACCCTCGTCTTCTCCGACCTCTGGCGCCTCAGCAAGAGCCAGCTGCCCTCCGGGGGGCTGGCGCAGCGCGTGGGCCGCACCATGCACCACTTCGGCTACCTGCTGCTGGTCTCGGGCCTCACCACCAGCGCCGCCTTCTACGCCAGCTACCTGAGCCGCCTGCCGGCCGTGCGCTGCTTCGCCCTCTACATGGGCACGGCCGTGCTGGCGCACCTGGCGCTCACGCTGGCCTGGCTGCCCGCCGCCTTCGTGCTCCACGAGCGCTACCTGGCGCGCGGCTGCGGGGCCGGGGCGCGGGGCCCGTGGGCCGGCAGCGCCCCCCGGCGGCTGGCGCTGGCGCTGCACCGGCGGCTCCGCGGGCTCCGCAGGGCGGCGGCCCGGACCTCGCGCCTGCTCTTCCAGCGCCTGCTGCCCTGCGGCGTCATCAAGTTCCGCTACATCTGGGTCTGCTGGTTCTCGGCGCTGGCGGCGGGGGGCGCCTACATCGCCGGCGTGAGCCCCCGCCTGCGGCTGCCCACGCTGCTGCCGGCCCGCGGCCAGGTCTTCCGGCCCAGCCACCCCTTCGAGCGCTTCGACGCCGAGTACCGCCAGCAGTTCCAGTTCGAGCGGCTGCCGGAGGGCGAGGGCGGCCCCATGCCCGTGGTCCTGGTGTGGGGCGTCCTGCCCGTGGACACGGGGGACCCCCTGGACCCTCGCAGCAACGGCTCCCTGGTCAGCGACCCCGCCTTCGCAGCCAGCAGCCCCGAGGCCCAGCGCTGGCTGCTGGCGCTCTGCCACGGGGCTCGGAATCAGAGCTTCTTTGGCGCCCAGCCGGAGGGCTGGCCCACGCTGTGCTTCGTGGAGGCGCTCCAGCGCTGGATGGAGAGCCCCGGCTGTGCCCGCCTGGGGCCTGGCCTCTGCTGCGGCCACGCGGCGGGCTTCCCCTGGGCGCCCCAGCTCTTCCTGCACTGCCTCAAGATGATGGCTCTGGAGCCGGGTCCACAGAGCCCCCGGGACCTGGGGCTCCGCTTCAATGCCCAGGGCAGCCTGAGTGCCCTGGTCCTGCAGTTCCAGACCAGCTTCCAGTACAGTCCCAACTACAGCCAGGCCCACCACTTCTACACCGAGGTCAGCCACTGGCTGGCCGCGGAGCTGGCCAGGGCGCCTCCCGGCCTCCGCCAGGGCTGGTTCACCAGCCGCCTGGAGCTGTACAGCCTGCAGCACAGCCTGAGCACCGAGCCCGCCGTGGTGCTAGGCCTGGCGCTGGCGCTGGCCTTTGCCACGCTGCTGCTGGGCACCTGGAACGTGCCCCTCAGCCTGTTCTCCGTGGCCGCCGTGGCCGGCACGGTGCTGCTCACCGTGGGGCTCCTGGTTCTCCTCGAGTGGCAGCTCAACACCGCCGAGGTGCTCTTCCTCTCCGCCTCCGTGGGCCTCTCGGTGGACTTCACCGTCAACTACTGCATCTCCTATCACCTGTGCCCGCACCCGGACCGCCTGAGCCGCGTGGCCTTCTCGCTGCGCCAGACCAGCCGCGCCACGGCCGTGGGCGCCGCGGCCCTGTTCGTGGCCGGCGTGCTCATGCTGCCTGCCACCGCGCTGCTCTACCGCAAGCTGGGCATCATCCTCATGATGGTCAAGTGCGTCAGCTGCGGCTTCGCCAGCTTCTTCTTCCAATCGCTCTGCTGCTTCTTTGGGCCGGAGAAGAACTGTGGGCAGATCCTCTGGCCCTGTGCCCACCTGCCGTGGGACGCCCGAACGGGAGAGCCAGGCGGGGAGAAGGCAGGCCGCCCGCGGGCAGGGCCGCCCGGGTCCTGCTCGGAGCAGTATGAGCTGCAGCCCCTGGCCCGGCGCCGGAGCCCCAGCTTCGACACCAGCACGGCCACCAGCAAACTGTCTCACCGGCCCTCTGTGCTCTCTGAGGACATCCAGCTCCATGACGGCCCCTGCTGCTCCCGGCCCCCACCGGCCCCCGCCTCCCCCAGAGAGCTGTTCCTGGACCACCAGGCGGTCTTCAGCCAGTGCCCAGCCCTGCAGACCTCCTCCCCGTACAAGCAGGCCGGCCCCAGCCCCCAGCCCCAGGCCCGGCAGGACTCCCAAGGGCAGAAGGCTGAGCCCGTGCAGGCCTCACCAGACGCCCCAGCCCCAGCCCAGGCCTCCCAGCCCAAGGCTGCAGAGCCACCCGATGGCCTCTGCTCCTCAGCCAGCACCCTGGAGGGGCTCAGCGTCTCCGACGAGACCTGCCTGAGCACCTCTGAGCCCAGTGCCCGGGTGCCGGACTCCGCGGGCGCCTCCCCAGAGGACCTGGATGAAACTGAGCCGTCGGCACCTGCGCAAGGCCAGCTGAACGGGAAGCGGGACACCCTGTGGCTGGCGCTGAAGGAGACTGTGTATGACCCGTCGCTGCCCGCCTCCCACCAGAGCAGCTCGTCCTGGAAGGGCCGAGGGGGGCCTGGGGACGGCAGCCCCGTGGTGCTGCCCAACAGCCAGCCAGATCTCCCCGACGTGTGGCTGCGCAGGCCCAGCACCCACACTTCAGGCTACAGCAGCTGAGAGGGGCCCAGGAAGGCTGGGCCAGGGTACAGGGCCTGGACCGGGGTGCAGGCAGGGGCAGCACCAGGCCGGAGCTTGATGGTGCTTTCCCATGTCAGCATGGAGAGGCCTCGCCCTTCAGCTTTGGATTTTAAATCCTGTCAGATACTCCAGCCTTGGTCCGGGCTGCTGCCTGCCCCCCCTCCCCCCCCCCCCCACACACACATCTGGAGGATGCAGTGAGCAGAGTCTTTGGAGGGGAAACGCCCCGCTCTCCTTGGGACCGACGGAGGGCACCTGAGCACCCACAGGGCCAATCAGGACCCAGCCCCGGGGTATCTCACCGAGCGAGAGTCCCGGGGAGTCTCAGCAGCTTCCTAGGCCCCGTGCTGTTCGGGGGTTCTTTATCAGGACGCTTGCTTCTCTTTGGGGAGCTTCTCTGTGCCAGAATGGGTCGGGGGCCTCTGTCCTGAACTGCCCTGCCCCCCTCACTCGCCCCGTCTGACCAGAAGTTTATCAAGGCCAAGCTCGAGGTGGCAGGAGCAGGAGAAGGGGGGCTGCTCAGCCTCAGAGCATCCCTGTTACACTGCAGGCTGGTCCTCCACAGGAAGCTGCTGTGGCGGGGGCGGGGTGGCCCCGGTAACAGAAGCCTTTGCAGCCCTGCCTTAGCTCACGGGACTGCCACACTCGTCTCCGGGAGTCTCACTTCACCCGGGGGCGGGGGGGGGGCGGGGGCGGGGCAGCAGTTGGCCAGGTTCTTTTGCCCCCAACTACGTTGCTTTACCCAAAGTCATGTAGCTGACACGTGGCAGAGCAGGTCCCCACACTCACTCCACCACGCAGCTCCCACACTCTCCTCCTGGCCACCTGCCCCAAGGCCGTCCTGATCTTCTACCTCTAGCACCAACCTGTGACCTGCCTCCTCAGGTGTCTCTGCGTTAGCCCCCCCCTGCACACCCCCCCCCCCCTTACCTCCATTTCCAGAGAGCAAGCCTGGAGTTCCTCCCCATCATCCCCCGGTGTCACTCCCTGTTCCGCTGAGATGCCTGCTGGCCGTGCAGTTTCCTGGCTAATCCGAGTCCCAGGTCCAGAGTTAGGGGCTTGCCTCTTCTAGGGCCACAGTGAACGGAGAGCCCCCACCAGAAGAGACGCCGAAGGAAGGAGAAGTAGGGCAGAGTCCATTAAAGCAAGAGCTGCTTTTTGGGGACTCTGTGGGTCTGAGGCTGTTCCGGGGGCGGGGGGGGGGGTCCCCCAGCTTCTCAGGACAGGTGTCCCTGGGGCCAGCAGCAGACAGAGGAGGATTCCTCCTCTCCAAATCAGCGAGTCCCTCTGGGAGGTTTTACCCCATGGCAGAGCTCAGGACACTGAGCATCAGCGGCTTACTGAGTACCTCCTCCCTTGTGCCCCAGGGGCAGAGGAAAACCGGCCCCCTCGAGGAGCTCGCCTTCTGCCTGGGGAAAGCCGCCTTCTGCCTGGGGAAAGCGTCCACACGTCCATGCCCGTCGCCCTCCGTATCGCTGGAGCTGAGAACCAGGACCGGGAAACCAGGAAGGCTTTGGAGGAGGAACTACTTGAGCTGGGCTTCAGCATCCCAGGTATCTCAGACTGGAAGGAACGATCCTACCGGGAGCAGTTCTCAAGCTTTGTAGCCTCAGGACCCTTTCTTCAAAGAATCATTGTATAGAAACACAGTATATAAAACAGATTAAAAAGCAGCTACTCTGGTGGGCGCTGGGCAGGGAGTACAGCTCAGCCCTCCTTTCTACGGCGCCCGGGAAACCCCTCAAACGCCAAAGGCTCCACAGAATGTGGTGCGAAAACCCCGGACTCAGGCCATTTTACAGATGAGTGCCACCAGGCGGGGGGGAGTTTTCTAGGAACCAACAGTCTGGGAGAGCTGGAGGCAAGTCGACGAGCATCTTGGTTTCTCCTGTGTCGCTGAGACTCGGCTCTCACCCAAGTAGCTCACGAAGTGGGACGGAACCCAAATGAGACACGGAGTGGAAGACACAGAAGACACGATGAGCACGTCAAACCCCTTTGACTGCTGACGAGGAAGGGAGGGGAGTGACTGGGACATAACTTGGACCTGTCCCCCAGAGACCTGCCCAGACCTCTCTCCATTCCCAAGTAGAACTCAGCCTCTCTGGCCTAGAGCTGCCCATGGGGACTGGCTGTCCTGTTATCACACAGCCAGGCTGGGAGGGCCAGGTCTCCTCTGGGACAGTCGGCTCCCTAGAGGGAGGGCAGGTGGGCCCTTCCTCCTGAGCATGAGCAGAGGTCTGGCCTTGACTCAAAAGAGAGTCTAATAGGGGTGTCGAACTCAATCAGAGAAGGGGCCAAAATCTAAAATCCAGCCTAAATCGCGGGCCGAATGGTTTACTGAACAGTCATAAACTGTCATTGTGATGGAAACGCAGCGGAGTGCAGTGATGACAGCGCGGTGCGGGCCACATTGCAAGGCCTGGCGGGACGGATTTGGCCCGCGGGCCTTGTGTTTGACACATGTGGCTAGCATCTTGGTTGCTACTCGGCAGCTCACTGCTGAGGGAGGGCAGCAGGGACTGGACCAAACCAACCTGCTCTTCCACACCCTTTTCTGTGTCTTACAAAGGAGAACAGTGGTGTCTGGGACTGGAACTTCAAAAACTGCCTGAACACAGCCACTGAAATGTTAGAGCATGGGGTGCGGGGGGAGGGGTTATTGGGGGTTTGGACCCAGGGATTTCTGGGTCTCCTTCTTGTAGACCAGGGCCATCCAACCCTATAGGAAGGCAGATGAGCCAGAGCAGCTTAGGTAGCGACAGGCCCAAAGGATTGGAAGAACCCAGTAGCAATCAAAAACTTCAACCTCACAACAAGAATGGCCCAAGCCACCCTGGTCGGGCTGCTCAATGGTTAGAGCGTCGACCCTGGGACTGGAGGGTCTCAGGTTCAATTCTGGCCAAAGGTATGTACCTCGATCCTGGGCTCCGGTCTGGGCATGTGCAGTAGGCATCCAATCAATGTGTCTCTCTCACATCAATGTTTCTCTCTGTCTCTCCCCCTCTCTTCCACTCTGTCTAAAAACTCAATGGAAAAAAATATCCTTGGATGAGGATTAAAAAAAAAAAAAGAAGAAGAATGGCCCGAACCAACAGCAGACACCCCACTCCAGCGGGTAACCCAGCCACCTCTCTGGCCTCAGTTTTAGAAAGCAGGATTGAAAGCATTTTCAATTACCTTTGACTCTAGCAGGTCTGTTCGCTTTATTATTGTTACGGGTGGTTACAAGGAATGTGTGGATCTGGACTCGTGGGGAGAGGCTTACAAGCAAGTTCTGAGGCAGGGGGAAACCAGTCAAAACATTTGCATTTGCTACGGAAAATTTGAGAAATGATTTCTTAACACTGAGACACTTTAAAATAGAAATACATTAAAATTCACTTGGGACTTGAGAGTATTTCTCCCATTTGTGCCACAGATCCTTGGACTCACGCTCACCGTATGTGTGCTGTGTTTTCAAAATGTAACTTGGTATAGTTTGCTACAATGGGAAAGCCCCTCCTTCCATGGCTGTGGCGCTTTGATGACGATGGGAGACAGAGGTTGATGTGACCAGCAGAATCTTAGATTTTTACTGGCTCCTGGCATATCCCTGCCATAATATTTCATCAGTATCCTAGCTTGAGCCTGTTTCTGAAAGAGACATCTCACAAGAGATTTACAAGCCAACTTCATTCTTCTCCCAGCGCACAACAGGACAAGGAGGCGGGTGAAGGGGAGCAGTGCTACAATCTTCGCGTTGTCTGGAGAGTTTCTGACCTTTCCTTCCATGTTGGCCTTATCTCAGCCTTGGATAATGCACATGGGCAATGGCAAGCTCTCTGGCACCCCACGCCACACATCAAGATCCCATTAGCGCGGGGATAGGAAAAACAGACATTCGCACAATTTCTACTCTGACCCTTGTTCACAGGGGCGACTGTAACTCAAGGTCTGGAGGCATTTATGCTTAAGAGAAGAAATTGTAACATAATTCGTTGGGGAGATGAGAAATAAAGGAAAGCCATTCTGTGCTATGTAAATGGCTGGCCGTCCAGAGCCACCTTGTAACTGAAGAGCCCAGGAAGGACCTTGATAAACTATAATTATTATCAGGCCTCTGTGTGATTATTCACCGTCTCTCTCAATACAGGGGGAGGATCGGCATTGTATGGCCAGGCCTAATCAAACCATTGAATGGATACCCTCTCCCCTGGGAACGGACCTTCCTTTAGATCATTTCACAACCGACATTCCCTTTCACTTAGACTTGTGGTCGGCAAACTGTGGCTCGAGAGCCACATGCGGCTCATTGTGCCCTTGAGTGTGGCTCTTCCACAAAATACCACGGCCTGGGCGAGTCTATTTTGAAGAAGTGGCATTTGAAGAAGTTTAAGTTTTAAAAGTTTTGGCTCTCAAAAGAAATTTCAATTGTTGTACTGTTGATATTTGGCTCTGTTGACTAATGAGTTTGCCGACCACTGGCTTAGATCACATTCCATTTGCTAAGACCATTATCCTTCCCACCCAGAAAAAGCCCTTTAAAATCTCTGACTCCTCGTCACCTGGGTGTTGGCACCATTTTGAGGCTCAGCCCATCTGGGTTTCCAGATGACCTAACACATTTATAATTCTTTACCCCTCCTGGCCTTGTGCGTTCCCCTTTGGCAACCCTAACATCTACCAAATTCATAAACATCGAACAAGAGCGTTAGTATTACTAAAGAAAACCACACAGAATTCATGACCACCAACCTCAACTGGGCCCTCAGCCCTGCCTAGCTAGTTTCCATTCTAGTTACTAGTTTCCATTCTTTGTAATGACCATCTCATACTTTTTCTACCTTCCTCAAATATCTGATGCCCATATCTATCTTCCACAACCCCACTATCAGTAGATAACTCATTCTTCATAAAGAAGACTGGAAATTTACTCACCTCAAGACACCAAGTCCCCAACTTACCTGCTCCTGCTCCTGCCTGTTCTGTCCCCATCCCTTCTCTTACCACAAAGGAAGCAGCAATGGTTCCATCGACGGCTTCACGCTGCACAGAGGCCTTCAGACAAGGGCTTGCATTCCCTCAGGGGCATGAGGACTTTCCAAAAGGTAGGTGGACAAAGACAGTTTTAAGGAATCCATTTCCAGAGCTTCCTCCTGTATATGTTTCCTCTCTTTATATTGATCAGCCTAAGAGGGAGGCTTAGGTCAGCCAGTTCTTCTCTGTCTCCATTTTCCCAGTTGACCCCTCCTGCATTTTGGTTTGTTTGTTTGTTTGTTTTTTAATTGATTTTGTACAGAGAGGAAGGGAGAGAGATAAGAGAGTTAGAAACAGTGAGAGAGAGTCATCGATCAGCTGCCTCTTGCACACCTCCTACTGGGGATATGCCCGCAACCAAGGTACATGCCCTTGACCGGAATCGAACCCAGGGCCCTCCAGTCCCTAAGCCGACGCTCTATCCATGAGCCAAACCGGTCCCGGCCCTCCTGCATTTTGAATCCCACTTTGGCAACTCTCTCAAAGGACAACTTGAGAATACTCTGCTTGAGGGCATCCTTGAAGGAGCAAAGCCTAGAGAGCGTCTGTGAGAAGTCTCAGTTCTGTGCCTTCTCCATTTAATTTGAATTACTTGAATTGAAAAACAAAATTAAAAACAAAAAGATTAAATAAAAAATTGAAAATCAGACATTTTCTAATAGAAAGTCAATCTGATTTGGCTGATGAGTTTGCCACAGAGGGTATATGATGGACATTTTCCAAAATTAAAATCATTTAAATCTGAAGCTTCATAGTTTGAACAAAAATATATTTAAAGTACATATACAACTTTCCCTTCTAGCCAAGATGGAGGAATAGGGGTCAGATTTACCCTCCTTCCTGAAACAACAACCAGACAGGAAAAGAAAAAATGAAAAATTGTTTTTCATGACACTGGATCTCAGACAAGAAAGGATAGTGATCGCTGACAGACAAGAAACAAATGAATTGGGCCCCCTCGTTGCTCAGCTCCCTGCTGGAGAGTTTGCAGACATGTTGCAGGAAGGGAGACCGCAGGCAGGGCCGTGCAGACTTCCTGAGCTAAGGACTTAGGTAGCTCAGGGTTTGGGACAACCGAGGTAGCTCGAGAGCTCAGGGCAGAATCCTGGATAGGAGGAAGGTGCAGAGAGAGAGAGTTCTGGAGGTCTGCCAAGGGCCTCCCTGAGTATTCTGCAGAGCACTGCTCAGCATATAAACATGAGGAAACTGCTGGAGACCAAGGAAAGAACCACTCAAAATGATTACAAGGAACAGAAGTCACTAGTTGCCCAGGGCTGGGACATAGTCTATTCCTGTTAAACTGAAAAACCTCATAATTCATGGAGCATCGGTTAGAGTTTTCAAAAAGTTCTTGGGGGGGAAAACAAGAGTGCCGCGTGAACATGGGGAAGCAAAAGAAAACAAGGAAGTATGCAACCGTGAAGCGAATGCGAGTCTGAGAGACCAGAGGCTTAAAGAAAAGGACAGATTAAAACCTGAGAAGAAAGAAAAGTAAGATCCCAGTGCACTCAAAGAAAGGGAAGTCCGCCAACACCCCTCCTGCTTATTCTTTCAATACAGCCCACCTTACCACATCCTGGCTGATAACCAACTTCATCAACTTTTCCATTAAGGCCAAACTGGACTTAGCGCAGTCAGTGATGGACTGTCTCTATCCCTTGTATAACTGACTGTGTAATGGCTGAAACTGAGACATTGGGGCAGAAGTATCGAGTGGCTCTAAGGATGGCCGAGGATCCAAGATTTGAACCATTACCGTGCACACACAAAGGAGCCTATGCAGATGACTGCTTAGTACAGAGATGACTCAGCACAAGTGTTATATTGTGGCCTCAGTTGACCGAGTCCTTAAGCAAAGAATCAGGAAGATCCTATCAAGCATGTTTCTAACCACAGATATAACACTGGGCGGATGCCAGAGGATTGTGGAGCCCCGAGGTTCCAATACCGAAAAGACAACATTTCTCTGCTTTCCTTCAAACCACTTTCTCTGTTGCAGGTTTATTCAACATGCTACAACATGCGTTTTTGCTCCACTCACACATTTGCTGTTATGAGCCGAGAACAGTTAAATACACTCACTTTTTTGGTGGTGTTTTTGAAAATGATACTGATGTTGTTTTGAAAATGATATTTTGTGTCACTTAAAATGTTACATCTTTTTGTAAATCAGATAACTGCTCAAAAAAAAAGTTCTTGGCTCAGTTATGGTGACTCATTAAACCTCGTTTGAACACTGATTGCTCCCACCTAATAAATCTCAAAAGCAAGACTTGAAAGGATCAAACTGTTTTTAAGTAATGTAACTTTATCCCAGAACAATCCTTTAGAATATTTACAGGAATACAAAACCAGCACCCAAAACATAAAATTCACAATGTCTGGGGTCAAATAAAAAATTACCAATCATGCAAAGGAGCAGAAAAATAGGACCCATAGTGAGGGGAAAATGAATTGATACCGATCCAGAACTGATACTTATATGAGAATTACCTGACAAGGACATAAAAAGTTACTGTAACTGTAACCCATGTATTCAAATAGCTAAGTGGAAACTTGGAAGGTATTTTTTAAATATGCAATTTGAACTTGTAGAGATGGAAAACCACTGGATGGAATTAAAAACCCTTTAGACACTGCAGAAAAAGATTAGTGAACTTGAAGACATAGGAAATTATCCAAAATGAAATACCAAAAAAAAAATAATTTTAGAAATGAATATGATGCATAATATATAATAAGTAGAAAGTATACGTCCTTTATAAATATTTAAAATTATGAAAACAGCCGAAATCGGTTTGGCTCAGTGGTAGAGCATCGGTCTGCGGACTGAAAGGTCCCAGGTTCGATTCCGATCAAGGACACGTACCTTGGTTGCGGGCACATCCCCAGTGGGGAGGGGTGTAAGAGGCAGTTGATCAATGATTTTCTCTCATCGATGTTTCTAACTCTCTATTCCTCTCTCTTCCTCTCTGTAAAATATCAATAAAATATATTTTAAAAATAAATAAAATAAAATAAAATAATGAAAACATTTAGTCATCAACTAAAAATAGGTAAGAGGGTACATTTTTTTTTGGTCTTATTATTTTGTAGGGGTATATGGACAAAAGAACTTTAAGATGCTGCTGTAGATCCATCTTCCATCTCTCTTTCTCTATGACTTCACTCCTTTGATCATCCCCCTCCCTTGTGAAACATCCTTTTCTTCCTCTCAGCTAGCACATGTATCAGGTATTAATAGTATCTACACCTTCAACCACCCAACCCACCTCCAGTTACTGCTCAACTGCTCCTCCATTCACAAGCTCTCAGTCTATACCCGCCTCCTCCTTTCTCATGCTCTCTTCAACCTGCTCCCACATGGCTGCCACTC